GGCCTGTGCCGACTCGGACCCTGGAGCCTCAGAACCCGGACTGCTGGCGCTCAGGGGCTCAGGTTCGGCTCTTGGCGGCCCACTGGATCCCCAGTTTGTCGGACCCTCGGACACCAGCCTGGGTGCTGCTCCAGGCCACCGGGTCTTGCCCTGCGGTCCCAGTCCACAGCACCACCGGGCCCTACGCTTCTCTTACCACCTGGAGGGCTCGCAGCCTCGGCCTGGTGAGTGAGTGACCGAGAGAGCATGGGAGCCCGGGCCACGGGCCTGGTACTGGAAGCGGGTTCTTGTTCTCGAGTCCTCTAAGCCCCACCTCGGGACAGGCTCCCTTACCTCGGCCCTTTGGGTCCCCTCAACCCTCTTCCTCTCCCCACGCCCCTTGGCCTTGTGTCCAGTCCTTTCAACCTCTGTCCCCATCTCCTCTCTCTGTCCCTTGTGCCCCTCAACCACTCCAACCCCCTTCTTGTCTGTCTGCTGAGGCTAATGGGAGAGGGAGCACTCGCGAGAAAAAGAGGGAGGATTGCAAGGCAGCAACGGATATTTGGTTGGGGAAACCAGGGTTTAGTATGGAGAACAGAAGAAAAAAAAGGAGTCTTCCATTTGCCAAGCGCCTACATTGTACCAGGCACTGGACTGGGTGCTTTACGTAGATTTTCATTTCAGCTGCAGGAACCCTCATGAAGTAGATACTATTAGTCCCATTTTGTAGGGAAGGAAACTGAAGCTCAGAGAAGTTAAGCTACTTGCCCAAGGTCACACAGCTAGTAGGGAGCCAGGATTTGAACCAGATCTATTTGTGTCCAAAGTCTGTGGTCTTTCTGCTTCCCCAAACTGAGGCTGGAGACCATGAAAGTAATGCCAAGCCTTCTGCTTATGTGATTTTCTCCTGTACTATTCAGCAGCCCTGGAGTATGAGCAGAAAAAAAAAAAGAAGGATGGTGGATTGATCCAAGGTTGGGATTTTGCCAGGTGTGTGTGGCGGGAGAGCAAGGGAAGGAAGGAGTAGACGGTGCTGATGAGAGAGAAAGGTGGAAGAGGTGGGCCTTGGGAGTCAGGCTAGAGGAGAAGGTTGGAGGGGCTGATAGGTAGGGAGACAGCAGAAAAGCCAACAGAGGCAGAAGCCAGTTGTAGCAGGAGCTGGAGAGCTGCAGGGCCACAAGGTTGGTTGTGATGTGAAATCAGGATGGTTTCTTGGGTTTGAAAAGGTGGAGCAGCTCTAGGTCAGGCTGAGGCCACAGACCACTGCCTTTGTGCTACACAGGCCTAAGTGTCTGAGGAGCCCAGCAGGACCTCCCTCATATGGGGACATTCTCATATGGGCCTGAGCCTAGGAGCCACAGAAGAAGAGCACAGCACATCTGCCCTGCCTTCCACTGGGACTGAAGGAGTTATTAAGCCTTTGGGGGCTCCTGGGTTCACACCTCAGGTTCCACAGATCTCTGGGACCATGGCCTTGCACCAGGTAGCAGTAGTGAAGTATAAAGCATAGGCAGGATGTACCTTTTGCTGCCGTCATGACCTTGGGCTAGGCATGGAACCTATGGGAGATTTCAGGGGGCTCCTTCCGTGTGGGCTGAAGATAACCAACTGGCAACAGGCCCTTAACGCCCTGGCCTGCATGTTACTTCTGCTGGCTTTCCAAACTCCCCTTGACACTGTGTAAAGTCAGTGCCTTTTTTCAGATGCCAAAACAGGCCACAAGCACTCCCACCCCAGGACTTTGCATTGGCTTTTCCTTCTGGCTGGAAGCTCTTCCCCTAGCCCTTTCTACCTGGCTTGCTCCTCGTCTTGCATGTCTCAGGTCAAATGTCACCTCTTCCAAGAGACCATCCCTGACCACTTTAGGTAGGGCCACTTGTGAGCCTCCATCAGAGACTGTGAGTGTGCTTCCATCCTTGCGCTTAGTACAATCTGAAATTATCTTATTGTATGTGGGTACTCGTTTATTGCCTGTCTTCCTTCACTAGAATGTGAGCTCCATGGGGGCAAGGCGACTATATCTCTTTTGCTCACTGTTGTATCCCCAGCAACTAGCACAGTGCCTAACACACGGTAGTTGCTCAATAAATCCTCATTAAATAAATGCCTAAACAGATACTAAAGAAGCACATAGTAGGCCCCGCAGTAACTACTGCCTAAAAGAAGGACACCAGGCCGGGCGCGGTGGCTCACGCCTGTAATCCCAGCACTTTGGAAGGCCAAGGCGGGTGGATCACGAGGTCAGGAGTTCAAGATCATCCTGGCTAACACAGTGAAACCCCTCTCTACTGAAATACAAAAAAATTAGCCGGGGGTGGTGGTGGACGCCTGTAGTCCCAGCTACTCGGGAGACTGAGGCAGGAGAATGGTGTGAACCCGGGAGGCGGAGCTTGCAGTGAGCCAAAATCGTGCCACTGCACTCCAGCCTGGGAGACAGAGCAAGACTCCGTCTCAAAAAAAAAAAAAAAAAAGGACACCAAATTCCTGCCCTCTGGATGCTCTTGATCTGAAAGTCAGTAGCTGGGCAATGTCTGGACCCCTAGTCTCTGGCCTCTGTAATCAATACATGGTGATGATTCTGAGTATGCCTTCCCAATCCACCAACTCATTCATATTACAAATCATAATACCCTTCCTAAACCACTCTCTTCCTCCCCAAAAAGGCAACACAGAGTTCCCAGGATCCTTTTCCCCAACGAAGTTCCTGCCTCTGTAATTGCATAGTGGGTGTCTTTTTTTTTTTTTTTTTTAATTCAAGATGGGGATTGCGAATAAGGCAAGTGTCAGGGAAGGACCTGGCCTCCTATTCTAACTAATTCACTTTGTGACCCTGAATGAGTGACTTCCCTTCTCTGAACCTCAGTTTCTTCATCTAGAGAATGCAATGAGGAGTCTATGAGTTAATGGTTGTAAAGCCTGCAGCATGGTATAAATCCTCAGCAACCAGGAGTTAAAAAAAAATAAAACTGAGTTAAAAAATAAGAGAAAAACCTTCTGAAGAAGAGGCGGAGGAATTACTCAGGCCCTGACTAGGTGGGCGCCGGGCCATGTGATTCACTGCAGCATGGGTTGTGAGAGGCCCGCCTCCCCCACTGCCCAGCTGGCCCAGGGGTAGGCACAAGTGACTTGACTTCTCTCTCCACAGGACTCGCCTATAATTGGCCCTAAGAGGGCAGGGTTAGTGGTTGTAGGGTGTGTGTGTACCAGAGAGAGAGAGAGTTTCCTGAACTTCAATTAAAGGGTTGAAACATTCTGGTCCACATGTTAAGATTTCCATGTGCCTGCTGACTTCCTCCCTAACACTGCTGAGACCTTTATTGAATCACCATCTTCAGGGCTCAGTGGCTCATCCTGGGGGTGGGGGAGGCTTTTAAAAATAATAATTGTATCTTATCCATGTGAACAGCCTTGAATTGCTTCAAAGTGCTTTCTCTTTTAGTGATCCTGTCTGCTTCTTGGTGGGGAAAGGGACAGTTGTTATTATGCCGATTTTCCAGGTTGATTAAACCGAAGGATCACTGGGAAAACCCAGTGAAATGCCAGAGAGGGGTCTGAGAGAGTCAGAAAGTGGTTTGCTTGCAGGGGTTTGCAGAGATGGCGGCTCTATTCCTCAGGGTTGAGGCCTAGAATGTCCTTCCAGATGCAGGGATTGTGGGGATATTGGTGTCTGACCCTAGCTAAGTCAAAGGAGTTGTACCTGATGTTAGAGCCGTTTTGTAGGTAATGGGGGAAACTGAGCCAGTTGAGGGGGGCAAGAGGAGGGGCTGACTCTCATTTGGATCCTGAGGCATCTTCAGAGTCTCCAAGAGTAAAAATTGGAGTTAGAAAAGACCCTAGATACTGTCTCATTCTGGGTTTCCCGAACTGAGTGAGCATCAGAATCTCTTGTTGACCTTAAAAAGAAATGTGATTCCACACTCCACCTCAGCGCTCCAGAATCTTGGGGTTGACAACCAAGGAATCTATTTTCAAAAGCTCCTTAGGTGATTGTGATGCACAGCTTAGAGTGGGAACCACTAGTTAAGTCCATTTTCCAGATGGGGCAGTGGAGGCTCAGAGAGGTAGTGATTTTTTTTAGCCATGGTCCTACAGTGAGTCAGCATCATTAGGGCCAGGAGAATACATCGGCCTACCCCTCTAAGGCCCTTTCCCCAGGGACCCATGTGGGCTTCTGTTAACTCACTCCTAACCCCAAACGGAGGCACAGGATTAAACACAAAGGAAGAGTCAACCTCTCGCCCTCATACACACAAACACTGGCTGCCTCAGTTTACCCCTTATTCTCAGCTCTCGTGAATGGCTGCCATTTGGCAGTTCAAATTGGAAGGCAGTTGCCATTCTGGGACTCTAGGCAGAGGAAACCCTGGCATCATCAGTGCCCAGTGCAGGGTCTGGCCCTAAGAAAGGGCTCTAGAGGGGTGTCAAAAAAGGGTTGTAGAGCTAGAGAAGAACATGGAGGACAATTCAGGTAAGAGGTTCAGTGGGAGCAAAGGCAGCGAGACATGGGGCACTGGGGAATAGGGCTAGTATTGGGAGGAGTGGAGTGACAAGGCTGAGAAGGAACTTTCTTCTGAGGACGAAGAGAAACCATCGAAGGGTTTATTAACGGGAATGATGTGCTCAGATGGGGGTGTTTGGAAGCTCTCCCTAGCTGCATAGGGAGAATGGATGGAAGGGGTGCAAGAGTGGAAGCAGGGAGACAGGCAGGTGAGTGTTGCAGTCTTCCCAGAGAGAGGTGATAGTAGCTTGGGTTAGAGCGATGGCAGGTAAGGAGGGTAAGATCTGAGGGATATTTAGATGCTAGCATGGACAGGCCTTGGTAGTAGCTTAGATGTAGAGGCTGAGACAGAAGGCAAAGTCCAGATTGCTCCATGTTGTTTTCTGAAACCAACTGCAGTGACCTGGTGGATGTTGGTGGGGCCATCTATATACAAGAGAGGGAGGAGGTTTGAGGGAAGATAGTAAATTGTGTTTGAGACAAGTTGAATTCGAAACGCCTGCGGGTACATGCAGGTGAACATGGCCAGCAGGCATTTGTGGGTTTGGTTCATTTTTGTTTTTTACTACCCAGGATGATCACTTTTAATATTGTGGTCTGTTTTCTGCTAGATCTTTTTCTACATATTGGTGTGTATTTTACATAATTGAAATTATATTATATGTTCAATTTTATATCATGCTTTTTCATTTAATGTATTTTTCCAACATCATTAAAAACTCTTCATGAACTTTTTTTGAACATTTT